ATTCGCGCCCCGCCCCGCGCACCCACGTGGCCCCACGTGCGGCTGACGAAGTCTGTGCCGGGAGTCGGGGTCGGGGGGCGCCTGAGACCCGAGGGCGGAGGGACCTGCCCCGCTATCTCTGCAGCCCCCGCTGCCCCCTCATGGCGTTTCCCGCCCCCTTTGCTGACCCAGTGCCTGCATTTGGAAGAGAACATCAAAGACGCTGGGGAAAGCGGCCAGCTGGCTCTCCAGGACGCCCGGGCCAAGGTGGCCGAGCTGGAGGGGGCCCTGCGGAAAGGCAAGGCAGCCATGGCTCGCTTGGCAAAGGAGCACCAGGACCTGTTGAGCATCAAGCTGGCCCTGGACGTGGAAATCCTCACCTACCGGAAGCTGGTGGAAGGAGAGGAGAGCAGGTGGGTCAGCCCACAGCATGTGCGTGGGAGAAACCGAGGCACCCAGGGGGCAAAGGAGCACCAGGACCTGTTGAGCATCAAGCTGGCCCTGGACGTGGAAATCCTCACCTACCGGAAGCTGGTGGAAGGAGAGGAGAGCAGGTGGGTCAGCCCACAGCATGTGCGTGGGAGAAACCGAGGCACCCAGGGCGGGAATCGGGATCTCCAAATCTCGCTCCGATGTCCTGCCAAGCAGTGGACAAACACGGCCTGTTCTCTGAGGGCTGAACCAAACCTCTGGGCCTGAACCCCCTGCCCCCAGATCTGGACCCGAACTCTGCGCCTTGGAGGTGTTTCCAGATGTTCCTTGCCTGAGCAGCTGCCCAGCTGATTAGCCGGGCACCCATAATGAGGTTTTGTTACTACAGATGGTGCACATACCTGGGGGCACATACAAAATTATTCCGCACAGGGATAGAAAAGATTAAAGGGCGCATTGGTCTCCAGATATAACACACACGGGGCAAGGCTGGTTTGTGGTACTTGTGGGGCACGCCAGACATCCCTGGGGGAGGGGAGCATGTGGGAGAAATTGTGCAGGGGTGGGTTTTGTTTAGTTATTGCATTTTCATAACAGACGCCTCAGACTCAGCTTTAAAACTCGGTGGGAACTTGTTCTCTGAAATACGGGACGGACCTGACTTTACGATGCCCCCAAGAGAACGCAGACACTCATGTACACAGCCCTCGCCTCCGATCCCCATACAACGTGGGTTTAGTTACCCAGCAACCGTCCGGTCTAAGCTCAGAACAGTGGGGGGGCTAATACGTCTCTATGTCGCAGTGTAAATCTATCTGTATGTCACACTGACATATGGACAGATTGCGGAAAGGGCTCTGATACAAGAGAGCACACAAATACCGGTGATGTGAAGAGTAGGGATACGTCGGTAGATCTGGAAGGGATCCAAAATAAGATTAGGGGAACGGAACGGCTGGAGGGATTAAAAACACTGGGGCTGTGTCTAGCCTGGCAAGTTTTTCCGCAAAAGCAGCTGATTTTGCGGAAAAACTTGCCAGCTGTCTACACCGGCCGCTTGAATTTCCGTAAGAACACTGACTTCCTACTGTAAGAAATCAGTGCTTCTTGTGGAAATACTGTGCTGCTCCCGTTCGGGCAAAAGCCCTTTTGCGCAAAACTTTTGCGCAAAAGGGCCAGATTTGTTTTGCACAAAAAAAGCCCCAATCACAAAAATGGCGATCGGGGTTTTTTTGCGCAAAAGCGCGTTTAGACTGGCACGGACGCTTTTCCACAAAAAGTGCTTTTGCGGAAAAGTGTCTGTGACAATCTAGACGCTCTTTTCTGCAAATGCTTTTAACGGAAAACTTTTCCGTTAAAAGCATTTGCGGAAAATCATGCCAGTGTAAACGTAGCCTGGGACTTTTCATCTTAGAAAAGAGGAGACGAAGCGGGGATGTGAGAGAGGTCTAGAGAACCATGACTGGTGTGCAGAAAGCAAATAAGGAAAAGTTATGTAGTTGTTCCCATAACACAAGAACTGCGGGTCACCCAATGAAATGAAAAAGGAGCAGGTTTAAAGCAAACCAAAGGGTAACTCAGCACACTGTTAATCTGTGGAACTCCTTGCCAGAGGATGGTGTGAAGGCCAGGACTTTGACAGGGTTCACCAAAGAGCTAGATAGATACACGGTGGTTAGGTCCATCAATACTTATTAGTCAGGATGGGTAGGAATGGTGCCCCGGGTCGCCATTTGTTGGCGCCCCCGTGTGGGTGAGGGCGGAAGGGCAGCATTTTTCACAAGTGTCTGAGACCCGTCTGCGTTCCTCAGCCTCTCAACGTCTCTTTTCTCCTTCCCAGCTTGGAGTCGCAGACGCCCACGGTCGTCAGCACCATCTGCTCCCGCCCCAGGCCGGGTTAGTATTTCTTGGCATCGCTTGTTCAAAGCACCAGCCAGGGTGGCGCCTGAGGAGGGCCACAGGGAGGGCCTCCCCGCCCTTGTTCCACTCCCTTCCTGCCTCTCTCCCCACACCTTGCTAGTACCCTGGGCTGCCCAAAAGCTCCAGTCCTTTGCCCCTCCTGCCCATGGCTCTGGGGGGCAGCTGCCCCCTGCGTCGCCCACTGCAGCCAGCAGGAAAAACAAAACAGCGCGTCACACCGCTCACCTCCTGTCCCTGCAGTGTCGTCCATCTCCAGGTGCTTGGGGCCCTCCAAGGTGTTTTCCACGAGAGGCCTTTCCACGGAGGGGGTGAGCCGAAACGGCGCTGGAGAAGACGCCACCCACAGCAGGAGCCAGGGCGCAAGCCCAGCTGGTCAGGAGGCAGAATTCCAGCCCGGCGGGTCCTTGCAGGCCAACGGAGCTGCGTCCGACTGAGAGCAGAATGCCTGTCCCGACGCCCGATTCTTGCCAGGTTCTTCGGGGCCAAGTCGGGGAAGCCACGTGACCCCAGTTCTTTCCAGTGTTCCCTTTACTCCTTCCCATTTTCCAGCACGGCTTAGAAGTGGGGGGCCTCCGTCCTGGGAGAAAGTTCTTTCAGCTTGTCCAATGCTCACACCAGCCCCAACAAACTCCCCGAAGCAGACTCAGCAGGCCTTCGCGAACGGCCTGTGTCCGCATAGAAAGCTTTGCAGAAGGGGGAAGTGGCTCCCACAGTGGAAAACGGAAGGTCGGGCGCGGCGTAGAGGAAGGTAGCAAGGGGGAGCTGGCAGGCTCAGGAAAGGAAGGGTCTATTCCTGACTCTGCTGGGCGACTTGCCCCATTGTGCCTCGGTTTCCCCATCTATGAAACGAGGACAACGCCACTGTCCTCCTCTGTATTATAGAGCTATTTTGCCAGTATTAGGAAAAGGTTTCTTGCTTTCGTGCTTTGGGGCGTGCAACCTGTGGAACTCCTTGCCGGAGGATGGTGTGGAGGCCCTGTCTTCAAAAAAGAGCTAGATAAATCCATGGAGGTTAGGTCCATCAATACTTATTAGTCAGGATGGATAGGAACGGTGTCCCTAGCCTCTGTTTGTTGGAGCCCCCAGGTGGGTGAGTATAATATCGTGTGGAAGGGCAGCATTTTCACAAGTGGCGTTCACGTCCTCTGGTTTCTAACGTGCAGGGCTCTTTAACGAGCAGCCGATGTTCTCGTCCACGCAGGGTCCTTGTTTGGTGACGGCGCTCCGGGGAAATTGCTGCGTAGCCCCAGAATCCTGAGGCAAAGGCTTTTTCCTGCTACCAGGGTGGACTCTGTCTCGAAGGTGTCCCCTGAAAACTAAAAATAATCACAACCCAGATTTTGATCTCAGTTCCGCTGGTGTAAATCCGGAGCGACGCCTTGGGCCCAGCGTCTGATGTGAGTTACAGTGCTGTAAAAACAGGGTTGCTTCGCCAGGTTCAATGGTGGTTTATCTTGACTCTCATTTCCACTTGCATACACCCAGACTGACTCCACTCATTTAAACAGCGGGTTTACACGAGTGTAATGGAACCCCCTGATAAAGTCCTGGTCGTCACACCATCCTCTGGCAAGGAGTTCCACAGGTTGTGCGCAGCGTGAAGAAATACTGCCTCTTGTTTGTTTGAAACCTGCTGCCTATTCATCTCACTTGGTGACCCCTCACTCTGCCGTTATATATACTAACTTATGAGGTTGCTTTTAACTAAATTAGCAAGATCCCCAGTGGGTGTAAATCAGCATTGTCCCATTGAAGTCAGTGGAGCAAGGCCAAATTTATGCCAGCTGAGGTTCTGGCCTAGTGTATATATTTGTTCCCTTCTTGCACAGACTCAGGTATACCTAGCATTGCAGTACTTCTTTCTACCCAGGGTCAAAGTCCACACAAAGTCCATGGGCTTGCTCTGGGGGAGAGGAATCCCAGCAAGGTCCGTGCTATAAGTCTCTGTTAAGTATCTTGCAATAGTTCCCTGTTTCTGTAGGGTAGGCACCTGTGTAACCATGTGTTGTCTTGCTCCGCACTATGGCTGTGTTAATAAAGTCAGATTCCAAGTGGCTGTAGCCGTGTGGGTCCTTGGGTATTAGCGAGAGCGGGAGAGTGAGGTCCGATCTTAGAACCACTCAATCACCGAATCCTAAAACTGGAAGGGACCTCGAAAGTTCATCAAATCCAATCCCCTGCCCTCACAGCCGGACCAAGCACTGTCTAGATCATGGGTTCCCAAACTGGGGGGGGGGGGGGGGACCAGGGGGGTGCGAGGCAACCCAGGCCCCCTTGTCAATTCCCCCCTCCCCCCAAGTTGTGCTGCTATTTTTGTTTTTTGGCCCTGGTCAACAAGGGTTTTTTTTGCTCAACAAGTTTTGCTGCTATGGAGGGTGTGTGTGTGCATGTGTGTGAGGGTTTCTCAAAAATCAAAAAAGGGGGCGTGATGCTGAAGAGTTTGGGACCCACTCCTCTAGATCATCCCTGACAGGTGTCTGTCCAACCTGCTCTTAAATATCTCCCAGGATATGTCTACACTACAGAGTTTAGTCGGAAAAATGGCCACTTTTCCGACAAAACTTGAAGGACGTTCACACTGCAATCGCGTTCTTCTGCAAGCAAATCGAAAGAGCAGAGGGGTTTTTCCGGCACTGGTAATCCTCATTCTACGAGGAAGAAGCCTTTTTGCAAAAGAGCTGTTTTGGAAAAAGGCACGTGTGGATGGGGAGGAGGGAGTTCTTTCGGAAGAAGAGGAAAAAGCAACGGTGCCTTGGTGGCCGTTCCGTCTGCAGCAATACAGCTGACATGCAAGAGACTGTCCAGTCAGGCTGGATGCTCTCTTGCAAAAAAGCAGATTGCTTTTTCGATGCGCGTTGGCTGTCTGGAGGCTCCCTTTTGGAATAAGGTTTTTCAGAAGATCTCTTCCGAAAAAAGCTTCTTCCGAAAGAAGCCTGCAGTTTAGACATAGGGTAGGCACCTGTGTAGGGTAGTGCTCCGCACTATCTCTAGCGATAGAGATTCCACAACCTCCCTCGGCAATTGATTCCGGTTTCACCGCCTGACAGGCAGGACGTTTTTCCTAATGTCCCACCTCAACCGCCCTCGCTGCAATTTCAGCCCCTTGCTCCTCGTCCTAGTAACAGGCCCAGCACCTTGTAATAGAGCAACTCATGCTGGTGGGAGAGATGAGCTTTCGGGCTTGCTCAGAGCTGAGGAAGGACTCGGCAGAAGCTGCAGAGCCTGTCTCTCTGCAGGACCAGCCGGGCACTGTGCCTCGATTTCCGTGGCCTGTGCCATCCACCATGACACCAGGTCTCTTCCTTGAGGGACGCGTGACAATAATCCTTCAGACCCTCCTGACGAGCCCCTGCTGATGCCTCCCACGGCAGCAGTAGCTGGCTTGGCCACCACGTCCCGCGAGGCGCGCACGATCAGCTGAGGATCCTGCGCAAATCTGGGTCCATCGAACCATTTCCTCCGTTTGCTCCCCTCCCCTCCCCCTCCAAAAACTCCCAGAAAGTTCAAAATGTTTCCTTCCAACAACCAACTCCCTCCTGCTTTGCAAACTGCTGCACACACGCCAGGGCGACACGACCTGGGGGCAGGGCTCCCCCTAAACGCGCGCGCACGATCAGCTGAGGATCCTGCGCAAATCTGGGTCCATCGAACCATTTCCTCCGTTTGCTCCCCTCCCCTCCCCCTCCAAAAACTCCCAGAAAGTTCAAAATGTTTCCTTCCAACAACCAACTCCCTCCTGCTTTGCAAACTGCTGCACACACGCCAGGGCGACACGACCTGGGGGCAGGGCTCCCCCTAAACGCCAGACCCTGCCGAGCCCTGGGCCGCCAGCTGAGTGGGCCAAGCAGGAAGCAGGGCTGGTGGGAACCGTTCTGAAATGAAGGGGACACGACTCTGGGGGGGGGGGAGGGGAA